ACTTTACAGGGCATGTAATGTGCCAATCTGTTATGTCCTGGACTTTCCACTGTATAAGTTCCTTGTCAGTAGAGGGTCAATCGGAGTGGGTGGAGTGACACATCAGGGTGCCTGTAATATGTCAATTTGATATGCCCAGGTACAGGGGCCTGACAGTGTATAAGTTCCTTGTTAGTAGGGTTTCAGTAGGAGAAATGGAGTGACACATTAGAGGGCATGTAATATGTCAATTTGCCCAGTCCAGGACCCAGGAAGTGAAGATACACATTATAGTGGGTTTAATGTGCCAGCTTGTTATGTCCATAAAAAGTGCTTTCCGATGTATCAGTTTCTTATCAGTAGGGTTTCAATAGGATAGGTGGAGCGACACATTATAGGGCCTGCAGTGTGTCAGTTTATTATGTCCAGGGGTTTTCTAGTGGAAAAGTTCCATTGCAATAGAGGTTCCATAGGAAGAAGTGGTGTGACACATTAGAGGGCCTGTAATGCGTCAATTTATACTACCCAGAGACCTTCCAATATACAGATGCCCTACAGTGTATAAGTTCCTTGCCTTTAGGGTTTCAATAGGCATAATGACACATTAGAGGGCCTGTAATGTGTCAGTTTGTTTTCCCATGTGCCTTCCAATGTATCTCTATACATATCAGATCTGATGTGATCACAGCATTAGCCAAGAACGATATCACGTAGTTAATAGTCTTCACGATCTTAACAAAGGCGCAATTATCCGTATCGAAGGTATACATTCCCATGAAAAAATCCCTATAGATCCCTTCACAGATCCCTTGTATGGAGCCCTCATAGACAGCCTTTATAGATTCGTATAGAAACTTTAAAGATGCCCTATATAGAGAACTTATAGAAACCCCGTATAGATCAACCATTGGAGTTCTTTGTAGAAAACTTTACAAGATCCCTTACATGGAGCTTTCATAGACAACTGCTATATATTCCTTGCCCTTTGTAGAAACCACATGGAAGCCCTGTATAGATCCCTCGTATGGAGCCCTTCTGGAAAACCCTTACAGATTGCTTATAGAAATCTTATAGATCCTTTATGTCGAGACCTTATAGAAACCCATTATATAAAAAACTATAGATCCCTTACAGAGAGACTTTCTAGACACCCATTATGGATCCCTCATATGGGGCCTTTATAGTAAGCCCGGTTACAAAGTATGTAGATGCGATGTGGTAAGCTATTCTTGATATAGTAGTTAAGATAAATCGATTGTATTATGGTTCGCACAATACCTATGAAATTACCTTTAAGAATAGAGGGAGCGGTATTAAAACCAATGAAACCGGCAACGAAGATGATGACGATGATGAAGATGATGAAGATGATGGAGATGATGAAGATGATGGAGATGATGAAGATGATGAAGATGATGCAGATGATGAAGATGAAGATGATGGAGATGATGAAGATGATGGAGAGGGGGTGGGGTGTCCGCAGCCCTGTTGGACCCTAATGGGTTCGTGGTGGGGGTGGGGGTAGTGGGTGGGGTGGGGGAGGGATGTGAATGGGTAGGGGGTTTGTGCTGGCGTGGTGAGGGGTGGGTTTGGGGGAGTGGGAGTGGGCTGGTAGTGAGTCGGGTGGGGCGGTTGGGGTGGTGGTGTGGGGGTGGGGAGGGGTGGGTTTGGGGGGGTAGGGGCTGTGTTGGTGGGGTGGTGGGTTTTGGTGTGAAGGCGGTGCAGCGGGCGCGGGAGCAGGGCAGGGGAGGGGGTGGGTGGTGAGGTGAGAGAGGAAGGCAGAGCGAGGGAGGGGAGGCAGTGGGGGAGGGGGGGGGAGGGCCTGGGACCTAAACCGTGGTGGCAAGGAACGGGGGCGGGGGGAGGGGGAAGGGGAGGGGAAAGGGCGGTCACCGCGGCAGCAGGGGCAGAAAAGGGAGGGGGGGGGCGGGGCGGGTTTAGGGTTAGGGTTCGTGTCCGGCCCTGCTTTTGTACTTCCTCCCCTTTCTGGCTGGCTGCCAAAAAATTTAAAAGAAAAGAAGACTCTCTTCGGGGGTACCAGGGGGTGTCCCCCTGGCGCGGTCCAGCAATGCGAGTGCTGGCGGGGTCCAGGGCGAGGAGCCAGGATCACGTATTTCCGATTTTTAAAGAATTTAGGGGCAGGGGTGCGGTGGGTGGTAGTAGGGGGGGGGGTGGGGGGGTGATCCGTGGGCCCCATCCACAGAACCCCAGGATTTCAATTATTTAAGTAATTGAAATCATTGAAATAATGGAAATGGGGCCTATTTCAATTATTTCAATTATTTGGATCCTTTGGTGGATTTAAATAATTGAAATAATTGAAATGGGTCGGATTTCAATTATTTCAAAATCATTTCAATTATTTCAATAATTCAAATGGGGGGATTCGTGGCTTGGCCCATAACAACCATCGATTTCAATTATTTCAATTATTTGGGCCCTTTGGCGGATTTAAATAATTGAAATAATTGAAATAATTGAAATGGGGCCTATTTCAATTATTTCAATTATTTGGGTCCTTTGGTGGATTTAAATAATTGAAATAATTGAAATGGGTCGGATTTCAATTATTTCAAAATCGTTTCAATTATTTCAATAATTCAAATGGGGGGGATTCGTGGCTTGGCCCATAACAACCATCGATTTCAATTATTTCAATTATTTGGGCCCTTTGGCGGATTTAAATAATTGAAATAATTGAAATAATTGAAATGGGGCCTATTTCAATTATTTCAATTATTTCAATTATTTGGGCCCTTTGGCGGATTTAAATAATTGAAATAATTGAAATCCGAAAGCTCCATGGGCCCAAGCCACCAAATCCAGGGATTTAAATAATTGAAATAATTGAAATAGTTGAAATGGGGCCTATTTCAATTATTTCAATTATTTGGGTCCTTTGGTGGATTTAAATAATTGAAATAATTGAAATGGGTCGGATTTCAATTATTTCAATTATTTCAATTATTTCAATTATTTCAATAATTCAAATGGGGGGGATTCGTGGCTTGGCCCATAAAAACCATCGATTTCAATTATTTCAATTATTTCAATTATTTGGGCCCTTTGGCGGATATAAATAATTGAAATAATTGAAATCCGAAAGCTCCATGGGCCCAAGCCACCAAATCCAGGGATTTAAATAATTGAAATAATTGAAATAATTGAAATGGGGCCTATTTCAATTATTTCAATTATTTGGGTCCTTTGGTGGATTTAAATAATTGAAATAATTGAAATGGGTCGGATTTCAATTATTTCAATTATTTCAATTATTTCAATTATTTCAATAATTCAAATGGGGGGGATTCGTGGCTTGGCCCATAACAACCATCGATTTCAATTATTTCAATTACTTCAATTATTTGGGCCCTTTGGCGGATTTTAATAATTGAAATCATTGAAATCCGAAAGCTCCATGGGCCCAAACCACCAAATCCAGGGATTTAAATAATTGAAATAATTGAAATAATTGAAATGGGGCCGATTTCAATTCTTTCAATTATTTGGGTCCTTTGGTGGATTTAAATAATTGAAATAATTGAAATGGGTCGGATTTCAATTATTTCAATTATTTCAATTATTTCAATTATTTCAATAATTCAAATGGGGGGGATTCGTGGCTTGGCCCATAACAACCATCGATTTCAATTATTTCAATTATTTCAATTATTTGGGCCCTTTGGCGGATTTAAATAATTGAAATAATTGAAATCCGAAAGCTCCATGGGCCCAAGCCACCAAATCCAGGGATTTAAATAATTGAAATAATTGAAATAATTGAAATATTTGAAATAATTGAAATAATTGAAATGGGGCCGATTTCAATTATTTCAATTATTTGGATCCTTTGGTGGATTTAAATAATTGAAATAATTGAAATGGGTCGGATTTCAATTATTTCAATTATTTCAATTATTTCAATAATTCAAATGGGGGGGATTCGTGGCTTGGCCCATAACAACCATCGATTTCAATTATTTCAATTACTTCAATTATTTGGGCCCTTTGGCGGATTTTAACAATTGAAATAATTGAAATCCGAAAGCTCCATGGGCCCAAGCCACCAAATCCAGGGATTTAAATAATTGAAATAATTGAAATAATTGAAACGGGGCCGATTTCAATTATTTCAATTATTTGGGCCCTTTGGGCGGATTTAAATAATTGAAATAATTGAAATCCGAAAGCTCCGATTTAAATTATTTCAATTATTTCAATTATTTAAAATAATAGTAATCATAAAGAAAAGAATAGAGCGACCCTAGAGGCGCCTCTCTCATATATATATATATATATATATATACACATATGTTAAGGTATGTATATATGTATGTACTGTATGTATGTATATACAAACATACCTACATATATACACATATGCATATACACATGTACACCACTGTTAGACCCTAAACTCCAAGCCCGTAAAACACATCAACGCCTGTAGCGACATTTATAAGCACTTCAGAGACTACCAGTGCTAAATCCGAATAGAACCGACAGAAAACTCTAAGTAACTAAATGTAAGAATCCGGGGCCTCCTGTCTCTCTCTCTGCGACACCTCCATCTGTTTCTTCTGCTGCTGCAGCATCTCCTGGTGACAAACCAGAATGGAATGCACCCTCACCGCGCACACCGAGCGGAATGCACCGCGAGTCACACAAGCCAGGGATCTGAAGCTGAAACCAGCTAAGGCAGCTCCACGCTCACCAAGTCATGATCAACACCACATAGACGTGTGTGTGTGTGCCCGTGTGCTCAATAGCCACTGTGCGCATGTCGAGTGCCCTGCCTCGTGTGCACCCCTGGAGTATGCAATATCAATTCTGGCTCGCATCCGTGACAACGGTTGAAGCCAATCGTTTTCACCCGCAACGCCCACACACACACACACACACACACGCATGCACAACAAGAAGAGCATTCTACGTTCCTGTAGCAAAGGCACTTGCCACAAATTTCTGCACAGTCTAAGGCGTAGCTGCCTTGCTTGCTGCTTGGATCATAGAACGTGTTGCTAGGAGATGGAGCTTCCCCACTTCCCGAAGCAAGACTTGTCAAAGAAGGCTACCTCTGCCTGTCTTTGCCGACGTCCTCAGCATGCACATACACCGTACACAAAGGAGTCCGATTGAGTCCGATCCTGTCGAAACTGCTGCCATTCCTACAGCTGAGGTCCAGGCTTGCCTCGAGCTCAGCTTCTTTCCTGGCCAACCAGTCGCGGATGCGAGCCTCGACAAATAATCAGGTGCCACACAACTTGCTGCAGAGCAACCGGCCTGCTTCATTTGGCGGGCTCGTACATCACGACCTGGTTGCAGCTCTTCAGCCTCCATTTCGAAGTCTCGAGCGCATGTGACCCGGTCAAGACAAGAAGCATCGCACTGATCTGTCCGAACCGGGACAAGCACTTCCAAGACTACAAGGTCGTCACAAACGCAACACTGCGGAGATAGTTTTGCGGCGCACATCACGAAGTCTCTTTGAGCAAGACATTGACAGTCGCGTTGGCGTTGCCAACCCTTGTGCGTTGTACAAGGAGGTCGTCGTCAACGAAAGCGACCTATGGGAAGCTCCACACACGGCTCACTCCACAGCACAATCAACAGCGCAACATGACAGACTGGCCTCGAAGACTCCAGCACCCGGCGGTAGCGGGAGGTTCAACGCTGGCACTGCCAGCTGCAGTCCAGCCACTTCCTCCAGGCGGGTGGTGCTGTAGCGAAAGACGAGCTCGACGAGAAATGAGTCGTCCATCGGGGTTACAATCCTCCACGTGCAGTTGACTTCCTGGGAAACCTTGCTACCCAGAGGAGACAAAAAATCTATCTCGTTTCTCGCGAAGCTTGCAGTCAGAAATGACTGTCCCACTCGGTCCGTCTGCCAACCCAGCGGCAAGGTGTTGAGAGAGGTTATTAAGTCTGGGGAAGACGTATAAACTTCCAGCGGCCTCGGAGCAAGTCTCGTCGGAGATATCTCGCGCAGCCCTGAAGTCTAGAGCCAAGGTATCGACGAGCTCCCCGGCCCTCTTGCGATCCGCAAGGCTTGCGCTAAATCTATTGCCCGCGGCTGCGAGGCACAGCAATTCACGCTTGCAACTCTGCACAGCATCGGTGTCCTCTGCAGGTCGTGCACTTCTGCGGAAGGATTTGCATCGCGACCGGGCAGGCGCAGAGCGCGCGAGAAGAACGGCAGCAGGAGCCAAGCAACTTCTAAGTCTCGCAGCCGAGGAGCTCGCGCTCCTGGCGTGCTCTGGATGCAAGCGGGCAGGCCGGGCAGGCCCAGGCCCTTGCCGAAGTCGAGCAGAGCTTGCCTGCACAAACCAAGCTGTATCCAACAGCCGAGGCTCCATGGCGAGGCTACAGCCCCTGGATCAGCCAAGCTGATTGCGGTCACAACTGGTCAGAACAAACCAGCCGAGGCACGAGACAAACATACAGTGGTGAGAGATTGAGTGAGTGAGTGAGTGAGTGAGTGAGAGAGAGAGAGAGAGCGAGAGAGAGAGAGACAGAGAGAGAGAGAAAGAGAGAAAGAGAGAAAGAGAGAAAGAGAGAAAGAGAGAAAGAGAGAAAGAGAGAAAGAGAGAAAGAGAGAAAGAGAGAAAGAGAGAAAGAGAGAAAGAGAGAGAGAGCGAGAGCGAGAGCGAGAGCGAGAGCGGGGGGAAGGGAGGGAGGGAGGGAGGGAGGAGAGGGAGGAGAAAGTCAGAGCGTCAGAAAGTCCGAAAGTCAGAGAGTCAGAAAGTCAGAGAGTACATTTGCCAACACAGAGCACAGCGATGATGTAGAAGCAACTGCAGGTCCTAAATCATAGCAACGCATGCACGTGGGGCGTTTTAACGTGCTTCGATGAACATGTTCCCCGTGACATGAAGCCCTGCTTCACGGAGCCATGAAACGACTCCCTCGCTGTCCAACTCACATCCTTCGTAGGTTGCTTCAGAATCGTGGCGAGAACTGCCAAACTGGGACTCAAGCGTGGAAGCCAGGGACAGCAGACGCTCCACCAGCCACTCCGCCTTCGCGGAGCGCGTCGGGAAGGCCTCGGAGGCGGCCTCCGCCGGGTTGGAAACCTCGCTTCGCAGCGGCTCCCTCAGGAGCTCCTCCTCCTCCGGCTCCGGCGGAAATTCCCAAGGCAGAGACCGCAGAAAGCGAATATCTGTGATGGCACCCAAACGGTACAGCGACTCGAGGATGCTTTCGTCCAGAGGCATCAGCTCTTGCAAGACTTCGTTGGGACGGCCGAAAACAACTGCTTCAAGAAAGAGGCCATCCTCCCTTCGTCTGACGGAGGCGATTCCAGCCAGAAAGCCGAGTCGCCCTTCTGCACGTAGTGAGACGGTGGCGCAGCTGGCAGTTGCCGAGCTCAAGTTGGAACGGTACAATGCTTTGGGTCCAGGCTTCAGCTGCAGTCTGATTGAGGCTGCGCCGGCCTCTTTGGTTAGCCTCGTTGAATATCCCACAACAAGGGCAGGCACGGCGCTACCCATGGCCGCAGCAGCGGCAGCACGTGCGGCCTCCACAGACACCCGCAAAGGGAAGCTGTGGCTTGCCCTCCCCGTCGGGCAGAGCACCGGGACAGAGTTGTCAGACGCGGACGTGATGACACCACCCATGGATGGCAAGTCTTCAACAAATCTTCGAGATTTGAGCACATTAACGTTCTTTAACTCGCCATAGAAGAGAAAGGCAACTCCTGTATTTCTTCAGGCTCATTGATGGAGAATCCATGCTGCAGAAACTTGAGCGGTCGCGGCAGCAGGCAACAGGACTCAATAATGCCAAAGCGTGGGTCTGCACACAAGCGCCAAGCAAGGGGCTCAGAGGGGGTCCCTAAGCATTCTGCCTGTGTGACAGCGGTGGGCCGAGCGGCAGGCCGACGCCTGGACACAGTGGAATCCAATCTGTTCCCGCAGACTTTTGGCTGAGGAAGAGCCACGATCCTCGCACTCGCAGAACGCTGCATGAGCAGCACATCGCTAGGCCTCCTGCGATTCAGCGGACAAAGCTCTGCAGTTCGTCTGAGAAGAACACCATGTCTTAGCAAAACCAGCTGCGTCGCGGTCCTCCCCTGTCTTCGAAGAAGAGGCGGCTCCGCCATGGAGCACATGCAATTGAAGCAGGTCGAATCGACCTTCGGCAACAGCAGATACACTTGCAGTCCCTGTGCACGGCAAGGTTGAGGCTGCTGCAGTGCAGTCACATGTACCGCATGCCACCTGTCCTGCATGCAGCAACTGAAAGATACTAGGTACATCGTCCACGTGCACAGCCATTGGTCCTTCGGGCACGTACTGAGCGAGACCCTGACATGCCATGGCCAGGAAACGACATGAATGCAGAGATATACCAGAGGTAATGCACTGGCCTTGGTAGACCCACCCAGGCTAGTAGCTGAAGTCTGACTACTGCGTGCAGACCTCGGAAAGACTTCCTCTTGCTGGAACATTCAGGCCAGGTAAGCAAGTCTGGACAAATGAGCTCACGCATGACGTTCAACTGCTCGGAGAATTAGGATGCAGAAGCAACAGCAACCCTGGGCAGCTGCCATGGCCGTCGTGATCGGCATGAATGATATGGTGCCTGAGAAGCTTTCTCAGATATGGTAAAACATCTAGCACATTCTAGAACTCTGTCCTCCTGCAAAAAGCGTGGCACAGCCGCAAGTAGCTCTGAGCAACCCCCGAGGTCGCAGCACCTGGCGCCCATAGGCGAGGTCCCACTCCTAGCATGATCAAGATTCAAGATGTAAGGACGGTTAGAAGAAGCCGAAAGTTCCGTCCTCGCGACACCTTGTTTGCTGAAGCAGGCCTGCACTGCAATGAAGATGGCACAAGCGTGGTAGAGAAGAACCCATGTGCTGCGCCTCGAAGCCACCCCAGGTGGACCCCCAACCCGACACGCCGAGGAGGGCCTGCACACAGCCGTGTCTTTGCAGCTGCCACTGCCAAGACCCTCGCTCCGCCCGGGGGCCCTTGCTTCCCGTTGCCAGCAGATTGTGTCTTCTTGCTGCAGATAGATGTCGGATGCTCGGAGCAATGCGTGGGCGATCGATTCTTTTCAGTGCGACGGATGACCATTAGTGGGAGCAAGGTAAATCTACTGCATTCTCCCTACTGCATTCCCTTGGTCTAGATGCATTGCTGCCTGAATATGAAGTGTCGTCTCGTGGGCTCCGGAGTTTCGGCTGCTTGTTCGCTGCGTTTGTCACGGCTGCTGCTGCTGCTGCTCTATATAGAACTTCCTCCCGTACTGAAGCTTCGCAGCTGCTCTCATCTCTCTTTTTCGGCCGTCGCGTTTGCAGGACATAAGTTGCAGAGTCATGCTCATCCATCTAGCACGGTTCCCTGTCCCAGCCATGGACAACTGCGCCAACCAAACGTTGCTCACTCGTGTAAGCTTCATGCCACCTAAACCAACATGCTGGCGCACCGAGACTGGCTGACGCAGCCGCCAACCGGCGTAGATGGCCTGGCAGCGGCATGGATCAGCAATGGAAACTTAACTACATTCGAACACCCACGATGCGATGCTACGTACTTGCACAGCAAGTTCAATCGGGCCTTCGAGCTTCAACATTCTCCAGTTGGCCTCATGTGCTCTTTCACCCTGACACCCTGACATGTTCTGCCACATTCACAACCTAGGCGTTTCCGTGACGTGGGGGTCCTGGATGATCTGATGACACTGTGTCGGAAACAGCTCACAGATTTGCTGAACATGAGCGAGCGGCCATCGAACGAACTTTCGGTCAAGCTCTCTCCAAGGAAGGCATCGCTGCCCATTGCGCCCAGGGTTGCACGATACTGTCGAACTGGCCGGGTCAACCACCGCCGCTTTTCCAAGGGCCCAGTGTTATCGTAGAGGCTCCTGCAGACTGGTTTGCAGGGCAAGGGCTACACGGTTACACTCAAAAACATGCGCTGCTAACACAACCGACTCCTGATAGCCCGGACCAAATGCTGTGAAAGGCCAAGCTCATGCAGCGACGGACATTGCCGTGGCGAGAACATGTCGCCCTCCAGATCACAGGCATGCGGAGCACCATCCGTTTCTGGTGCCATGGCTCCCGGGGACATCTTGTCAACACGGCTAGCAACTGCATACTGCACGTAACGATTGGTACCAGCTCTATCTGAAGAAATGAAACCTCAAAAAAAATGGTTCACACCTGTGTCATTAAAACCAAGTCTACAGCCTAGGACAATGGACACTTGCGAAACATGCGGGATCACAAGCTGGGCACTGGAACCGCTGCACAAAATTCGTCCGAAAACCTGTTCGCAGTTGAAAACGAAGCAAGCGCACATGTTGCTTTGTTTCGGGCATTCTTGGAGCTAGCTGTTTTTTTTTTTGGGCGTGGGCGGGCCTCAAAGACAGCAGTTGCTGCACTCGGTCCCAATAAGAACTACAAGAATAACAATAACGAAGACAACTGTACAAAGAAAGACTACATATAAAGGTGAGACAAGCCGCGACTTGCAGACTTAGCCGGCAGACGTCGTTCGGCAACATATGCCCAACATCGATAAACGACCCGCGCTCAGATGCCCCGCTTCTCAGTCCCTCTGAGTCGCGCAATGGCACAAAACGGCCCAGCAACCGTGTGGCTATTAAGCCCGTTCTTCTTGCCACGTGCACTAACTCCGCCAGAGAAACCAGCACAGTGCAGAGCGGGGAGGCTCTGAACAGAGAGTGTTACGCCAGCGCGTCCAGATCAGGGCGAAAGGTCACCAGTGACAGTGCTTTAAGACCATTGCTCGAGCCAAGCTTCCCACAAGTGAGCCTCGCAAGGGCAGCACTGAGTCACTGCTCAATGCAGCAATAAAGCATAGAAGCAGGGGATGCTTGCAACATGCAAGTTGCTAAGCACACGCAGCCCAGCTTCCCAGTGTGGGTATTGCAAGGGCAAGAAACAGGCAACGGCTGCTGTCGACGCAACGTTGAACAGTGTGCAAGCCAGCATACGCCGCAGTATCAAGCCCAGCTTCCCACCGTTGTGGGCCTGGCAAGGGCAGTGGTCCAAGGCGAGCACAGCGGTCTGGCCCGGCAGGGCAAAGCCCGAGATAAGGAGCACAGGTGTGTAATGGGAGGTTCACCCGAGATATCGGGAGAACGCACAATAGCATCCACACCAGGGCGAGGAGCCGCTGCGACGATGCGATAGCACCTTTAATTCAAGCCGCCGTCCCACAAAGGTTGGCTTCACAAGCGCAGCCGCACTGCGTCGTTGCTCAATGCAGCTGAAAAGTACATACTGGCCGTGGGAAAAACATGGCTACCTGCCAGTGTCGAGCACTCACCGCCCAGCTTCCCATGGTGGGTCTCGCAAGGGCAATGCAAAAAAGAGGTCGGCGGCACCATCTAATGCCACCTTGGACATTGCTGAAGCTAGCCATCGCCACACAATAGACCAAGCCCAGCTTCCCACCGTTGTGGGCCTCGCAAGGGCAGCAGTCAATCAGCTCTAGCAGCTCCCAGTAGGGCGTTAGCCCCAACCGGGAAAGTAAAGTCGTCCGGCCAGACCAGGCCAGCCCTCAGCCCAGGGCTGCATGGCTGCCAAGGCCGACCGTATGGCCACAGCACGTCAGAAGTCGGTGCCCTCTTTTAAGGCGAGGACAATCTGAAACACATGCCGTGACACAGAGGCCAACGTAAGCACCGACTCGAAGTCGACTTGCAATATGGTAGTGCGCACCTGAAACCCGAGCCTCACAATCAGCTGAAAGTTAGTCGCCACCAGGACGCCTCTGAAGGCGCGCTGCGCCAGGGAGGCCGAAACCTGCTCCTGATACACGATCCACTGCTGCCGGAGGACTAGACCAGCGCCCCGCCTTTCCTGCGGATTGATGGTGGATAGCAGCTGCCTTCCGGGAGCATGGCCATGGCCCATAACCCAGCCTACCCACAGGATGGTATGCGGCTGCGAGCCCCCAGCGTTGCAGAGCGCACCTACTCAATCGCAGGTAGGCACGGGGGCAGTAGAAAGGCATGAACATAGAGCTGCCGCCGCAAAGCCGAATGGCCAGGGCCAAGAGCGCAGCAAATGGACATTATAGGTCACCGTGACCCAATTGACAGGCATCGTGGCCACACTCCTATCCTAGTCTGCTCCTAAAGGGCGTGCATGCGACAGCGAGCAAGCGCCGACAGGAGACGCTCCCTCACCCAACTGCGAACAGCAGCGAGTGGAGCACAGCTTCGGCATCAGGTGGGCACGGGCGCTCTCCCGCGTCCCACCTGGCACGGGCAGATTGAATATAAAAAACACCTAGCTGCCGCCGCAAAGCCGAATGGCCAGGGCTGATATGGCAGCGCATTAGACCCAGAACAACACCAACATACACCCGGGGGCCCCTGAACACGGATCCAAGGGTCGTCGACAGGCACGGTCCTGAGGTACGCCTTAGTGCCTAAGACGCCGCAAAGGGGAATGGCCAGGGCTGTTGGCCATTATAAGAATCCAAAGGTTCAGCCCGCCAGCCCACGCGGCGGCATGGACCCATTGGCCGAGCCAGGCCACGCGCCCAAAATGGTACTGCATGATTGCACTAGTACAAACGAACCTGCGGAGCGTACCGACCCCAATACCGTACCGCAATGTCCCAAAGAGCACGACGGAAAAACACTGGATCCGCCATATGTTCATTGTTGAGGAGGTCCAAGAAGGTCCACTCGCAGCGCTCCAGCCGACTCAAGAGCTGCAGGCCGCGTATACGAATACCGCGGCGAGCGCTTGCGGTAGCTAGGAACAAGCCGGTAGCCCAAGAAAGGGTAGCGGAAGCCGCCCGCAAGTCCTCCCTGGGCCTGGAACAGCCGGGCCGCGGCCACCCAGTCCTCCAAGCGGAGTCCCGCACCGAGCGTATAAGACTGGTATTCTGCTGGGGGAGTCATAGGCACATCGGCAAAGTTCCTGCGGATGATCTCCGCCAGGCGGCACCACATAGAAATCCTTTTTGGGTCCCGGCAGCCAGATAGCCAGCACCGTTCGCAGATCATAGCCGCCTTGCGTCGTCCACTGTCGAACGCGGACCAGCGCCCCGGATAATAACCCAGCCGGCTGAAGGCTCAGTTCGGCTGCTGGTCGCAGACCTAACGCCTCCTCCGACAACGGCAGGTAGATGCGAAACCGTCCCTGGTACACCGGCAGTTGCGCAAAATGCCCGGGTTCACGTGCGGATGGTGCAGTGCCACCACCCCACGTTCCCAGGAGCTCCGAAGGCGCGCTCCCACCTGCCACTGCAAGGGGCAAATCTCACTAGCCGCAAAAGTAGCAGAAAGGCGCACGCCAACATGGTCGTGCCGTCCTTCCTCGGCAGCTTGCTGGCCCCTGTCCCGAAACACCTCCAGGACCTCCAAGTGCGGATAGGATTGCGGCCTATCCAAGAGGAGACGCACCATGAAGAGCAGGACTTGAATCGGCAACAGGGCGCTGCAATACTGGAGCGGAGACAGATGTCGTCCCGGGCCCCCAAGGGCCATGACAATGAAGCTGCCATCCCTAGCCATAGTGCCATAGTGGCGGCAGCGGTGGTGAGGCTGGCCTGTTCAGCATGTTGCCATTGGGCGGCAATTTCATCCACGAGTAGCCACCACCATACTTGCGGCCTGCGAGCTCACGCCACGATAGGTCATACGCCTTATCGTCCGCGAGATGCTGGAGCGGCTCGGAGCAGCATGGGAGCCGCATGGCTCGATCCGCAAAACTGCAGATCTCGCATCCGAACTCATCGACGTTAATACGAAGCGACCCCGCCGTCAAGGACATCGGAAGCGACAACAGCGTGTCGCAATCAGTCTGCGAGGGGAGGATGCGGCGAAGGTGCTCAACATGTTCCGCCGCTGCGTGTCTGGGCGGCGGAGGGGCTCCAGCCCGTTGACGCCATTCCCGTAATATTTGGCGCTGTAAGGTAAGTGTGGAAGGGTCATCAGTAGGTGCGACATTGCTGGTGAGGCCGGTAAGGGTCGGGCGATGCCGGGTGGGGTGTGTGTCCAGGGCCTGGATCAGCTGATTTAGGTCGTCCTGCCTTAACTTGGTTTCGAACGCACAGGGACATCCTGCACTATAAAGTTAACATCCATAAAGGCAGGGTCCTCCTTAACGCCCGCACCTGCGCTGACGGTACGCTTGAGAACGGCCAGGCCGCGTTTGTCGTACCCCGCAGCAGCCTTATAAGCCAGCCGAAAGCGTACCTTCGTCGCTAAAGCGGAAGGAGGCCAGGTCGTAGCGCGGCCCGACCAGCACGTGCAGGCGGTACCGCAGGTAGCCCATAAGCTTTTGCGTGGTGTGATCAGTCGCAATATGGGCAAAGTAGTAGCTGCCCGGAAGTGAGGCTACCGCCCACATCGTGTCGTGCGTATCCACCATCATTTCAGTGGCATCGCTGGTAACATCCGTGCGCCCCTTGATGCTGCGGAAGTGCGGTTCCTCGAAGGCGTCATACAGACGGGACGGGGGCGAACCTCGGCCCTGCCAATCCCGCAGGCCATATAGGGACAGCGCGCTGTTCTCATCCACATCCAGCGTGACCACATAAGGCTGCGTGGTGTCAAAGACAGGGTAAATTCTTGGAGCTAGCTGGAACTTGCTTGGGCTAGGACAATGAAAACACCAGGACAAGACAACGTGCAAATAGAAACCATATTGTGTCTGACTTGTAAATCTTGGTACATGCAATGGTGTCCCACGCGAGAGCAAGAAATGCGGCGTGCTGAATCTCAACCAACAGAAAGCCACCCTATATAGCACCCTGATTCCAATAAGAACAACTGGCGAGGTTGGCTTTCTGGCAATCCCGTGGGCGCAATCCAACAATCATGATGGCACAGCATGTCGACTGAATGCCACCATCCAACGCATGATTGCTGACAACGGGCTTCTGCTGGAGAAAATTCAACTTCGGATCGCTGCAAAAACCAACATCATGACGATTGCGTCACAATGCATCACACCACTGTCAACACAACGGCACTTTGCATATCTCCGGCGAAGTTTCTTATCGGAATGGAGCTGACAGCCTGGAGCACACCTTTTTTTGGCGTGGGCGGGCCTCAAAGACAGCAGTTGCTGCACTCGGTCCCAGTAAGAACTCAAGAACAACAATGAAGAAGCTGTACAAAAGACTAGTGAAGAGGGTGAGACGGGCCGCGACTTGCAGACTTAGCCAGCAGAGATCGTTCGGCCAGAAATGCGAGAAGCCCATCTCCGCTCAGGTGCCCCACTTCCCAGTTAGACTGAGTCGCGCAATGGCAAGAGTTGTCAGACATGCCACACCAGGTGGATAAGGTTCTACCAGATCGTGTCATTTTTTTTGGCGTGGGCGGGCCTCATAGACAGTTGCTGCACTCGGTCCCAGTAAGAACTACAAGAATGTGAACTACAACAAAGAAACTGTACAAGACTAGAGGAGGGTGAGACGGGCCGCGACTTGCAGACTGAGCCGGCAGGGATCGTTCGGCCAAAAATACGAGAAGCCCATCTACGCTCGCTTCCGGTCGCGCAATGGCAAAAGCTGTCAGTAATGCCGCACTGGGAAGGTCAGATTCTACCGGATCGTGTCAAGGGGTCGGCACCGAGCGAGGCATCTCTTGTGTGTAACATGGAAGGCCAGCGACGAGAGCGTTCTCAAAGTTCATGCCATCTGACCCAGCTTCCCGAGAACGGACTTCGCAAGGGCATGAAGTGTGCCAGGCACATGGTCAAGCCACGCGGAATGAAATCGTGCGTGGTGGGCAGGATCACCCAAGGGCAAGTCCCGCTTCCCAGCTGCCTAAGCAATAAAGAAAAGGAGGCGTAGCAAAGCCGCACCAAGGGAGCCTGCCATCCGGCCTGGCTTCCTGCTCATAGGTCGCGCAGAGGCGAAGGTCACGGGTCAGGAGCCACACCACTGGAATCCACCAGGGGAAGCAGAGAGTGCCACGCCGAAAACAGGAACGGTAAAAAGCAGTGGGTCTCGCAAGGGCAAAGTCAACACGGCCGGCCATCAACTATGACCGGCAACAGGAGAACCACAACGACATGGGGTCGCCCGTAGTTCACAGGCCGGCTGCCAAGTTATGCATCATAAGGGCAAAGGTTTGCCGAAATTGCGGATGCCCTGCAAAACATTGTCGAAAAGCGTGGCCGGTTTCAGTCAGAGTTGCTGGATGCACAGCAAGATGGTGTCGATCTGCAGACACCCAGAACAATGCACATGGAGAAAATAGAGAATATGGCGTGCCGAGTGAGTGCAGTGTGAGCGGCCGACGGCAACGCCCACGGAGGCACCCGGCCCCACAGCCCAGCTTCCCAGTTGTGGGTCTCGCAAGGGCGGAGTCAAGGCTCATCGGCAACTGGACCCGAGAATTTTGACGAGGAACGAAATCGGACCCAGCGCCGTGGCGCAATTCCCATGTATAGCCGACCGCCACACAGTACTTGCAGGCATGCCCGACGCTACCGAGAAGGAATGTGGTCCGCCTCCTTGGACATCTGAGAGCCAACATTGGCGCCCTAGAGAATGAGGAGCTTTGTGCCCTCCTGTCTTTCTGTTTTCACAATGATTTGATTTATCGATAAACAAAGTGCGAATTTAATCAATCGATATTTGAGAATCGCAAGTTATGCATATATGCGAATTCAGAGAGAGAGAGAGAGAGAGAGAGAGAGAGAGAGAGAGAGAGAGAGAGAGAGAGAGAGAGAGAGAGAGAGAGAGAGAGAGAGAGAGAGAGAGAGGAGAGAGAGAGAGAGAGAGAGAGAGAGAGAGAGAGAGAGAGAGAGAGAGAGAGAGAGAGAGAGAGAGAGAGAGAGAGAGAGAGAGAGAGAGAAGGCATCCCCCGGCAAGGGAATGGGCACCCACGTTGTCTCCGCCCCTGGAGGGGTTAAGACGTAAGTGGGGCGCGGAGCTCCGAAAACGTCATGGCCCCGCGCAAGGCAGGCAGGCAAGCACAGCAAGCATAAGAACAGAATCTGATTGAAGGGAACGAAGAGTTCCCATAACCATAGAGTGCAAACAAATCCCAACGGAGCCCTGGAGCTTCATCCGGGCATGTTTTCGAGGGACGCGAAGGACCTCCAAAGTTGTGATGACATGGCCAGTGGCCATTCTCCACGCTCTACGCAAATGTATTCCCAAGACAGAAGTGCACCGAAAACAGTGGCGCTTCTGCACTTGCACGTGGCTGATATGCGTCACGGCCACTTCTGTGACCCAGATGCCTCATCTCTCGACGAGAACCCCAACGAAGAACCAAGCCTAGAGCCCAGCAAAAACAGCACCTCGAGCAAGGAGGGTCAAAGGTCTGGTGGGTCATCTGGGTCTGTTATTGCCCGCTCCAGCGCGAGTCAGAACGTGGCAGCGCTGGTTGTGGTGAGGCCAATATCTAACCAGCTCCGCCTTACCCCGAGAAATCGGGGCAAGGAAGTATACTGAAGATTGAAAAATTTAAATAAACCTGTGCCGTGCTGCGAAATACGTAGGCCCCACTGAGTTGTTCAAGGCCCCAGTCTACTCACGAGTCTGCACACACGGCGGATCTACACAAATATATGCGGTACCAGATGTCTCAACAATTCAAATTTGCCGACTGCCCACCCAAATAACCAGCAACGAGCAGCAGCACATGTGTGGTACCTGCACCGTTGAAACATCTGGTTCCGTCTAACTGCACTCATGTAAAACACAGCCTCAACCGGACATGCAAGATCGCAATCACGACTACATCTTCAAGAGCCCCGGAGGGCGACGTGAGCATATCATTGAAGGCGACTGCATCAAGCTGCACTATGCTGGAGAGGATGCCCTGATTCCAGTAGCGTTTCTTACACAAAGCGTTTATGCCCGCAAGTACACCTCAATCAAGCTTTTGCGGTACTCAATCGATCCTCGACAGCTGTGCTCCTTCAGGTCTGCACCGTACTCCAACTCAGAGTAGCTTTCCCACTCCCAGGAGTAGATGATGCCAGGGGTGCATAGGCAATCTTCATTTCTGCGTAACGGCTGAGCTCGGTATAGCAGAGATCCGTTTAGGGGCAATTTCGTTGCCCCACATAAGCTTGAAAAAGAACAATGCGCCTAGGTTGCCTCAAAAGCTGCACAAAGCCCCGAGCTCAAGACCACTGACTATGGTGTTCGGCACCTCCCGTGTAATGGGGTAACGTCGTATACCGAACTACAACAAACAACCGTCCAGTCGAACCAGGACAACTCAAGCAAGAACCAAGAAAAGAAACCCACGTAAGCCAAATGAATAAAACCCCGTCTATACGGGAGTCGATACGCGAGGACATCTCCCCTGCCGCATCAATACTGGCTCAGCGAGCCGGCGGAGCGTAGCCAGGTCTAGAGAGCCTGCGCCGGGTTGGGGTGCGATGCTCCCTATGTCAGCGTGTATGTCAGCGCCACCTTGCTTTTACCGATATATGTTACTGAACTGCGACATCGAGCTCAAATCCTCAGGACTGCACATGTCGTAAGAAGGAATTGTCGGTGCACTGGTTTATGGTGCTCATTGCTTTCAGGCCGGACTGGCGTTCAGACAAACGGCCGAAAGCAAAGTGGACATGAAAAGGCACGTCAAAGATACTCCCATACTGCCTCTGTCGGTGTATGGAATGCCTGGACGCTCCGAGGCCTCCCCGGTCGCCGCAGGCCACCATCAAGGCGGTTGCAACGACCATGCAGAATGCCAAGTGTGTTGGAGTACTGGTTTTGCTAGCTCAAAGTGCAGCTGAGGGGGGAGGCAGGTTTACTTGGGGCAGAACGATGCGCAGCTGGTTAAGTCTCCGTAAAATGCAAGCAAAGCCATGGTCACTCGACCATGCCCAGACTGTTGAAAAGGCTGCGGGATGCTGTCGATCGGAATGCCAGTCTGCATGATGCCCACGGCTCGTGTGCCCGCGGGGAACCTGAGCCATTTGTGTTTTCTGAAGCTTCGCAATGGAGATTCGAAACAGCCGTCATGCTCGTGTCAACGTGCCCTACAGTTTTGGTCACACGGGTGGGCGCCGTCTGAAGTGTAGAACTCCTGATGCTACCTGGGTGTCTGCTTCTCCGCGGCGATGCCAGTGATGCAGTGCAGTCTGTAAGAGTTCAGCGACGTTGTCCACCGCAACAAGGCTCCTTTCTGCTTGTTGCAAGAGGACGGGGAAGGCAGTCCAGTCGGGGGGAAGGGCCCTCAGGCACCACCTCTGAACCCGTTGCCGGTCGCCCGTCCGAGCAAAGAAGGTATTGGCGCCAGCACCAGCATGTCGTTGTTGACCCAACTGCGTCAAGTGAGTTAGGAGATGGCCAGGCGGCAAAGGCGGTCTGGCCGGGCGTCTCGGTAATGCTTCAAGCGCCGCGCGCCAAACCCCCCAACAGTCCGGACACAGGCTGATCGCGTCCAGCGCGCCTGCCTGGTAACAGCGATTAGCCCCTCGGTTCCAAGTACACTGGCCCATGATGTGAATGCAGCAGCCGCAGTTGCGACGTTGGTTTCCGCCATTGTTGCGGTGGCAAAAAGGGCACGTTCGAGGGGGAACTGCGGGAGGAAGTTGTACGCCTCCACAAGTCCAGCAGCAGGAGATGGATTCCGGCGGGGCAGTAAGGCAGGTGCACGGGGAACGTAACGAAATTTGCATGTCTGGGAAGGAAGGCCATTTATCCACCCAGTTTGGTTGACCACGCACTGCGATCGGGACCCGATGAGAGGCGGCGCATACCCTGATGCTGTGAGATGAGAGTCGACAAGCTGGTACTTCTGCTTTAATGCGTGCGGCAAGGACGGAAAGGCTTGGAACCAACCAGCGCAGCTCACGGGCCGTGGTTAGGCCGCGCGGTGTCGCGAACCATGCATCAAGTATGGAGGGCATTCTGCCATCTTCCACATCAGGCGGAGCTTGGAGTGCCTCCGGGATTCGCAACTGCTCCATGGTCAACTGCACCTGTTTCCAGGCGTGGATGCGGCGGGCGTATTCCACTCGAATTCGCCGTATGCCTAGGAGAAGGAGAGATACACACTTCACAGCAGGTCTGATGCGATCGTGTCGGCGTAGCTGCAGTTCAGCCTCACGCGTGGTTTGGTCAGTGTGTCTCCAGACCGCGAATTCCTCAGTGTCGTTTGGCACCCGTTCCGGGAGCAGTCGAGAAAGGGAATGGCCTAGACCCACTGGTAAAACAGCTCGGTGTCCCAAGTCCCATCCGTGTTCCTGAACCACCGCTGCTGAGCTGTGACCGCCTACATCTTGGCTCAGCTGGGCCTCACGGCCCGGGAGAATTACCAACCAGCGCCACGCGGCAAGGATAGGCCACGTGCTGGAGTCCTGGACGGAGGGCTCTGGGATCAAGTGGGCTCGTCCCTGTTGGTGGCAAGTCCGCCTCCAAACCGATGCATCTTGCAAGAGTTGTTCTCGTTCCGCCAGTTGCCCCAACAACGCTTCCATGTCTGTTCGCAGTAGGTTGGTTAGATGCCTCATCCCAGCACATGTCATAACCGTGTGGCGGGGAGTGCCGGCACTTACACAGCACAACGGGCATGTTCGCATGGAGTCAAGATGGTTAACCTCTGCCCAATGCAACGCTAACCGGGCCAGTTCTGTGTCAGATTTGAGGCTTTCGGTCCATGAGCCCCCCACTGCGCGAATACACCGGTAGAGGAATCTGGACAAGTCCACGCCATCGCTCTGATCAGTGGGGAGCATCCAATGTTTCCAGGACGAGGGTACCGGAACCTGCGTGTACAGCTTCATGTCCAGTGTAGGGCCGAAGACTTCGAGCGCCTGGTTGGCTACATGTCCCTGAACCTTGCGCTGTTTCCATTGTGCAGAAGCTTGAGTACGAAGTTGTGCACGTACGACTTTACGTATGGTGCTCCCAATGGCTTTGCCCTCCGTAACCATAAAAGCAAAGAAACCACCAGTGGGGTACCAAACATCTGGCGGGCGCATCTGGCAGCGCGCTAATCCGCAACCTTGGTCTTGCTGTTCATTTCCACTGGTTATGACAGGGTGCGGGATGCTGCTGTGTTCTTGGTGCGATTTGATGTCCACAGCAACTAGTCCTGCTGTACAGTGAGTAGTTCTGCACATCCACTTGCCTTGGTGTTTGCAGTTCCAAATCGAAGGGAAGGCTTCTTGCTGGAGTCTCCAGGAGGGTTTGGTTGCGAACTCCGGCCATGAGCAGCGCAAATCCTCCAGGATACGATGCAGTCTGCCCACGAGGAACTGACTTGCGAGGTTGAGTAGTGCAGCGGGACGCTGAAGATTGGTCTGCAGAAGTGCATCGCATAGTGAGCTGCGGTCCACGACTAGAAGATTCCAGCTGTTTGACCGTCGCCAACGGAGAGCAGTGAGCATGGCGGCCATTTCGGCCTCGTGGACACCCACGGTTTCGTGCCCTAGCCTGAGAGGGAGACGACTAGTTAGGTGAGGAGTGCAAGCGAGGCTAGAGTCCCAGTAGTCTCCCGCCCCACCGAAGGAGCGAGCCTGACTGCTGAAAGTGCAGCTGCCTGCGCTGAGCATACCCCCATCACTGTACATACCGAAGTCTAGATCATCGTAGGGCAAATCTGCTTGTGAGTCTAGGAATGCGCTGCGCGAGTCCACTCTAGAAACCCAAGGTTTGGTCCAAGATTCCTCCGCCCAATCCTCGTCCGCGGCAGCATTGGGGTGCGGCCTGTGAAATAACCGACACTCCACCTCCCAGTCAGAATTGGAAGCATTGACAGCTTGCCGCATGGCCGCCGCGCAATCAGCGGGCGAGAGGCCGACAAGGGCTCCAGATGTTGTTGCCAAGCTTGGATAGAGTCCCAGCCCTGTCTGTCAACCGTATGTCGGATTGAAACCAAAGCACGACGTAGGGAGTTGGCGAAGCGGCCAACTCTGCAGTACTGGGCCCCCTGTTGGTGGGACCACTCATCTGCAGGACCAGCGAGCTGGGCGTGCGATGAACCGTGAAGCTTCTTGAGGTGGTCCAAGTGGCGAGAGAGGAGTCGTTCGGTGGATACCGTCAAATAGAAACCGTAACCTGCGAGAAAGGACATAGCCCTACAAACAATACCTTGATGGGTAGAAGCTACGTCCGGGTCTAGTTGCATGGCCCTGCGTAGTTCCGCTCTGGCAAGTTCCGAGGCGGGCGTGATGCCATTTAGGAGCAAGAGCAGATCGGAAGCGACAGCCGAAACCATGGACTCCACCAAAGATGTCAGCTGCAAGCCACCTACTTCACGGGGTGCCAGAAGGCTGACCCTCTCCACTGAGCATCGAACCTGAAGTCGCTTTAGAATCAGGAGTTGAAGGTCAGCATCTTGCAGGTGTAAGCTCTTCGGAGAAGGGATGCCTACCAGGGGTGCGTAAGAGATATAGCCTCGGCCGATAAGCTGGAAGGCCGCGGCAATCTCGTCCCAATCGCAGTGCCTAAAGGTCAACCTCTGCCGCAGTTGTCCAAGTTTGTCGAGTAGATCCTGTGCCGCAATGTCATGTTACTGATGGTTCCACGTTTACCAAGAAGTTTCTCAATAGAACCGGCGTGGGAGCGAGGAAGGGTGGTGGTGACCGTACCGCCCGTCCAGATGTCGTATCCAGTAACCTGTATGCCATCCTGTGAGATCCCATGGTGTGCTGCCCATTCTGTACCAAGTACCGAGTCCCAGTCCGAAGCATAGGCCGAAAATTTTGACCAAGCATAGCCTACAGCGGCAAGCAGACTACCCTTACCCAGTTCATCCACAAGTTGTGGCAGTTGTCGAATACCTCCTACATAATGCTCGGCATCGTCGGCATATGCAGTGACGGCCACTTCGATTCCTTGATCCGTGACGAATCTGGCTGGGCTCATCTCTCGCAAACGCAAGATGGGTTCCTGTGCTGGTTTGGATAGCTCGGGTGAGGAAATTGTTCCCTGTGGTACCCCTCGCTGGTAGGCCACGTCACGGGTGAATCCCCAACGAGTGTCTACGGCTACAGAAATCCCTTGAAAAGCTTCAGTGTAGAAACGGCGCACCATGTCTGGTATACCACGAGCGAGTTGCATGGCATCTACCTCCGCGTACAGGATGGAATTGAAATATTTCTCGTGGTCAGAGGGAACACGGGCAAACGGTGCCCCAGTTCGGCACGCAATCTCACACAAGATGCAATCAGTGTATAGAACTTCCGCGGTGGCAGCTTGTTTCTTCTCATAGGCGAGGTTTGTTTTGCTGTACATGGCTCCAAGCTCTAGGCGGCTCCTGGAGTTCGCAACGCGCTGCGTGACAGGGCCTTCAATGATTTTGAACGCTTCTTCCATCATGCTGAGCGGCCGAAATCCGCCAGAGCTTTTTGGGAGATTGATCTGGATGGCCTTTTTGTTGCTGGGTGCAATCAATGCCGTTTCGCGTTGTATGTCCGTCAGTTCCCAAAAGAGTTCCTGACACCAGGTGGGGAGGAGTGGCAAGTAGGCCAATTTAAAACCCGACCGGCCAGGCCTCGACCAACGCATCTTCTGAATCCATTTCTCACGCTGGTCTGGTTCCAGGCGGCATAAGGCGGAGTGGTCCGGGAAGGAGTGTGGACGCAAAGCGACGCCATAGGACGACGCGTTCATGTCATCCATGTGGCAGAAGTGGTCCATAGTCCATTCGTTGGCTGGCGCCCTTCCGAAGCAGAGTACCTGCAGTACTGGTCCCGAGCACGGTCCAGGGCGACGGGCCAGCCATCCAAGGGATGCGCCCATCCACGACAGAACCCAGCCTGGAAATGAAACACTGTTGTTAGACGGGAACTGCACCCTGCGTGGCTGCCATTGTATGATGCACCACGGCCCGGGTTCCAGGATTGCAGAAGGTACAGTCTCCTCGCCGCCCATGTGCAGCATGTTGGCTAGGTGCTCGAAATTCAAGCCTTTTCGTTGGTTGCCGAGTTTGTCAGACCAGCAGAGAAACGCGGGGTGCTGCCATGGGATGGAGGGGGTATGAAAGAGCCGTTCCCATTCCTGAGCTGCTCCCTGCAACGCGTCCTGCGCATTGGCGGGCGGGCGCCGGCGTCCCTGACTATCCACTACCCACTCGGGAGAGTACCTGGAGGTCGGGCCGATAAGGGGTCGGAGCATTCTAGCCCAAGTCTTAAAGTCCAGCCTGCGGAGTGCCGCTTTCCTAGATTTGCCACCGTCCCGAGCAGCACGTCGCTGACATCTGGCCTGATAGTTCCTGGCAGCGGAAATCCACGAGTTCACCAGTGAAGCGCCCTCCAATCTCGCTCGACGGTTCACCGGCGGGGACTGCCATTCCAGTGGTCTACCTCATGGCTTACCGTGGACACCGACACAATGGCCATGAGCCCCCGGGTACCTGTCTCACGAGTGTCGTTTTGGAGTTGAAGGTGAAGCAGCGGTTGCCCTCGACTCGGATCTTCGACCTCCGCGGCTGCCGGGTTACCCGACAGGGCGTGCCTACTTCATCCCTTATTCCGGTATCACGAGGGTGGGAGATCGGGTGTGCCCGCACCCCGGTCGCCTCACGCCGGCTGCTCTTGCGGTGGATTTCCTCCACCAGTCTGAGTCCCATAGCGATCCTATGCTACCTCAGCCGTCTGTCGCCAATACAGCTATGCAAGCTGAAGGCCTGGCCCCTATCAACGGGGTTTGCTTGAACCTAGCCCTGGTCGCATCCCACTCGATTGCTCGCCGAGCTCAACCTGCTTGTCACTGCCGTCCGGTATCCGCAGTCAAATGTCTTGCATGAGGCCTCTGATCCTCTCCGTGTCCGATTACGATCGGGGAATTGACGCCGGACACCCCCGCGAGGAGACTGCAACGAATCGCGGCCGATGGCTCTCATCAGCCGGGAGTGTACTTCGTTCGGCTGCCGAAGCAGGCGTCCTCGGCCACACACCAAGGGAGCTTGGTGGCATGGTTTTGTGTCCTGTTGGTCCTGGCTTACAATGTGTGCGGACATCGGTTTGCTGTTCAGGCAGGACGGAAAATAACTGTCGTCACGCCGACCACCAGGTTTTTGACTCCTTGAAGCATGGCCTCGGCCTCAGCAACGCGCGCCCGGCCAATGCCGACACTGGTGCAGCACACAGGGTTGCTGCAGAGGGCACCTCCTTTGCTGAGTTCATTGCGGAACGGCTGCCGGAGCTCCCCGGGGAAAGCTGGCCACTGTGGAGCAGGCCGCATCCCTCTTCACCTTCTTTTATGAATTGGGCGCCTTTATTGACGTCTTCACCACCACAGTGTGTGCTGGAACCACGGGCGCGGTTGACATCTGCCTTATTGACAAGGCTGGGCGCTTTACCATGTCTGGAGAGGACGCCCACCAACGTCTCACGGCAGGCAGTACACGGCCCACTGGCCCATTGATCATTGCCTCCCCTTCCCATTGGTGGGGCATTGTTGCCGCCTTAGAGCTCCATGCCTCCCTCCATCACACCCACGTCCTCTGGGAGGAGCTCTACCAGGCCTATGGGCTAGCTCGGCTTGGACTCCAAAACCCGCAGCGCGAGGATAAGGAGACTGCCCAAGAGTTCTATGATTCTATGAAAGGTGGTCCGTGAACCGCATTCCGCCGCTCTGTGACGCTACAGCGGTCGCTGCACATTGCGGCCAGGACGGCTACCCGGTCCAGCTTCTCCTACGGGGTATGGACTTTGAGCACAGTGGACCTAGTGGCCGACCCATCAAGGCACGCCCGTTCTATCCGGTGATTGACACTGATCGACCAGTCTTCGGACTGCTGGAGTTTACTACACCGCCACGTTTTGGTCTCCACCTTCTTCGAGAGCACAAGGGGGTGGGCGTGCCTCCTCCCAAAAGATTATACAGTGCGCTCCGTTCCACTCACCATCGGTCTTTAATAGGGGAGCACTTGTATTTCGACTCGCCTGCAACTGTGTGTAGAGGCCAAACGGACTCCACGGAATCGCTGGTGGCCGCCGTACCGGGGGCGTTTTACCTTTATTCCATCGCTTCGGATACTGTCAACACAACTCTGCTGGGGAGATTGCAGCGTTTTGTGTTGTCACAGATGCGCCACTCTAGCTCCGCAACCGTTATGCTGCCACCGGTCGCTACTACGGGCCTACCACGTGCCCTTTACGATCCGACGGGAAAGGTTCGCCCGGACCCGGAGGCAGGCGCCCCTGCCAAGGAGGATCCTGCGTTGACCGCGGAGTTGCGCAGTCAAAGTTGCGCTGCCTCCCTTCCTGCCGCCCCTAAAGCTACATGGAGCCAACGTGTGGCGGCTCTGTTGAATGCGGTGGAGACTCCGCCTAGTCGCTTAGTACCTGGAGTTACAGCCATTGCTAGCCGGTGTGTACCGGCAGAAGACGAGGACGACTTTGAGGAGCAGCAGCATGATACTCTCCGCCGCTACCAAGCCCGGGGCAAGCAGCCTGTCGAGGGAGTGCAGTGCGCTAGTGCGTTACAACATTTACTACCTAACCCCACCGATTGCCTTACCTTGCTTTCCCTCCCCCTGTCCCTGCCGGCGTGTGAAGTCAAACTCAGCCCGCAGAATTTTGGGGTGAAGGTGGTTGACTTCGCTGACCGGGCACTCATGTTACGGCGCTGTACTGATGGCGAAGCATTTCGCGTCTGTCTGACACCCATGCTGGCCGTGTCCGTCGCACTAGCACAGTTTTGCGACCCAGTTCTGCGCCTACCTGAAGGACGAGTTTTCGACCTGTCCTGGTATGAGCTCGCTCGGCCGGAGATTTGGTGGTGGCTGCTCTTGGATGAGCTGATGAGCTTGCTGAGCTCAAAGGGTCGCTCCACAGTGCCTTGGAAGGGCGGAAGTCCCCTGTTCGGGACGGCAGTTTGGTGCAAATGTCCTTGGCTCCCAAGCGAGGGAATCTGCCGGCTCGAAAGCGATGGTCCTCCTTCACCGGTTGGTCGCCCGGGAAGAGAATCAGGCGCAGGAGCTGCCGGCGGCGAGCGTTCGTGGGTCAGGTTGGGGCATCCCTGGGCGCACGAAAACTGGAGGGCAGCGGTAGAGGAGTTCCGCAGGGAAGGGGGCCTTGGACCTGGCCTCCAATTTACATGTATCTCCACCGATCTAATGCCACATCTGCATGCCCCTGACCAGGATACTCACCAATACTCATTCCGAAGGGTGACCGAAATCTATCGTGAGGGAAATTACCAGCTGCTCTATCTCTTAAGGGAGAGTCATTTCCCTTCGAGTGGTCGTGACATGCAGCGCCAACTCGACAGCTGGCCGCGCTAAGCGGCGGCTGGCTCTTCTGGTTGACAGTCAGTCTCTATCAGCCGCTTTTGTGACCGACGACATGCGTCGTTGCGTCTTTTTCTCTGACGAGCAAGTGACAATCGGGTTTTACTCGGCTTCAGCGTGCTCAGCCGAGGTCGGGCTCAACGACGTGGGCAGGCAGGCCCTCGCCACCATGTCGATGCACCCGCTGGTTTGAAGCCGGCCACGCTTGCCAGTGGGCTTTGGACTTATGGCTCTGGGTGCCCTGGTTGTGACGGAACAGATGGGATCAGGCGGTTCATCACTGTCCGTGCTCGCTGTCCCCCTGTGGAAGCCGTTGCGACCGACGACATACGTCGTTGAGTCTATTTCGCTCTCCTTGTCACTCATGCCATCGATGCCATGTTGATGCACCATCACCTTGAGCACGGACCTGGGCTCTGGTGTGCACGTTCGAGACGGGAGGGTGTGTGCTCCTCAGCCTCACCGCCTGCCTGCGACATACGCCGCTCGCCCCTTCACCTGTCCTTCGTGTTTTTTCCCACCTCCGAATGGTGTCTTCAATTGCCATGGCCGCCACAATGGTGCGACGTTGCTGTGGAAGCGTGTGACCTGCACGTCAATGTCCACCTTGGCGATGTCTGCCTGTCTTAGCGGCTGACCCAGTGTTCCAGCTCACGGCTGACGACATTGATTTGATTCTGCTGGCGGCAGCGGCCATGCGCGCCAGAGTGTCGTGGTCGAGCAACTTTGTTTCTGGTAGGACTCCGGCAGGTTGTCCGTGTGGGGGTGGCCCACACTGGTTGCCAGTGTTGCATCAGAGCGCCGTCTAGGCGCTTGGCACGCCTTGGGCCGATGACGGCGGTTGCATGTGCGGGTTACTTGCCTGCGGCACTGGTTTTCGCACTCCTTTTCCGGAAGCCGCTCACATTGCAGTGGGCCATGGATTTTTGGATTTTGGTGTGCACGATCGTGACGGAACAAAAAAAACAGGGGTTGTCCGTTGTCTGGCGAGACTAGAACGGCAACCGGAGCCTGGACTTGGCTCCACCTGTTGTTTTGGGCAGCTCTGAGCGACGGCTCTTTGTTGCTCCTGACCGGTCGCTGAGGCTCCGTAGTTTGTGCTGAACGGCTAACACCGGCAAAGCCTGTGCGCCGCAGCCCTTTGTAGAGCTTCGCTTCGCTGTTTCACCGCTTTGTTGTAGTTTTTGCTTGTTGTTTAGTTTCGCTTGTTTGTAGGGACCGAGTGCTACAGCCGTAGTCGACAAGGCCCAGTCAAGCCAAAAAAAAATCCCAGCTAGGATCTCAGGCATGTCATACTCATGCCTCCCCCCTTTGCAGGTTTTGGGATCCCCCCCCTTTGGCTTTGCCACGGACAACCAGGAGCTTAGGAACCCCCCTAAACCTTAGCTAAGCTCCGCGCCGCGGCCTAAATTTTTAGAAGGGCAAAGCCAAAGAGAGGGACGGGTACCCAACCCATACAAAGTGCCAGGCGCAGCCTAGGGCGTCACCCTTTCCAAGCAGAAAGTGGCCCCTGGTGGCAGCTACAACCCAGGATCCTAAACCCTAAGTGTAGGCCAGAGGCCACCCACTACAGCCACTAACTGCCCCCGCAAGGTCCCAGCAGAAGCCTTCACACCGTCCTCAGCCCCAGCTATACTGGCTTTCGCCGCAGCCATCACCATGTGGAAGAAGTGCCAACGCACGGTGAACCAGATCCAGATGACAGCGACTGGGAGCTTATGGACATCGAGTATTGATGTACAAAGAAATATTACTGGTGCGGAATCCAGAAGTGTACAAGAGAGAAGAAGGACCACCAACATTGTGCTTGCTCACCGTGTATTGCAGGATATGCATCTGCAAAATGAGAGAAAGCTACGACCGCACGAAAGAAGTGGAA